CCGCTCAAGAAGTATACGATTGGTCAACTTATGGGACACATTATATCTATCTGCAGCAGCGGAAAAGGAAAGGAGCGGGAATGAAGAGTTTCCTAATAAGCACAAGAAAATGAGAGAAAACAAGTAAAGAGGATTTGCCGAGGTTTCCGATTTTCAGTAAGACCTACTCAGTCTTTGATAAGATTGTAGATATTTTTATACGAACCGAGTAAAAAGATTCTTTGAAATTAATAATTGTTTTAATTGTAATTATCACCGGCTTTAATTATACAAATGATTAAAGAACATTTACTTCGGTCTTTGTTCGTGACGCGACTATAATTTTCCCTGCTGAAATACGAATAAAGATATTTTATCTTCATTCATAACATATATAGTAAGGTTTTAAAAATACATTAATTATGCTTGGGATAACGTTGTTTTAATCTCATTTGCAAGAATTAATGTTGTTCCTGAAGCGAAAAATACACACATATATTTTCTTTAAAATTGATTGTAGCGATGCAAGTTTTTGCGTTTTGTCGGCGAATTAATGTTAATGCGCTGCAATTTTCGCGGCGAAATATATGTAGATTTTCTGACCAATTACAGCTCTCATATCTCGTTGGTGGTTAAGAATATGTTATTGTCATGTGCACTATACTCGTGTAAACGTATTTCGCGGCAAGAAAGTCCGTACGACGAATCGCGAAGTGTCTGTGCGGCGAGACTTAATGGCTCTGTTAATGTGTACCTCTGGTAATTAGTATAAAATTGCTCGCAATTTATAATTTAATTACGGCCACTCCCACCGAAAACATTTATTCACGTTCGCGGATTCGAGTTTGCAACTGGATATTCCCGCCGTGAATGTCAGCCGTCGTTCCACCGCGTCCAATGGAAACAGATTACGTTAATTATCGTCCTCCATATATATTCCTGCTTAACTCCCTTTGTTTTTGCAACTGAAATTATGCTGCCAGCGTACCATCTATTTCGAGGGCTCGACCGAACCAACACCTCTCGTCTAGTTATTTATTTCGGAAGATACTACAGATTTAACACCATATTTAACTTAACAATAATATCGAGCAAAATTAATATGAAAAGTAAAATTGAAATTTTAAAAGATTTTTAAATATTACAGACTAGAAATTAGATACCTAAAAGAAACTCTGCTCATATAGAAAAATAACGTGTATTATAACTCTTACTTGTGTTCGCGCAAAATACGAAACAGATTTCTTTCTCATGGAACGTGTCTTTAAAATTCAGACTACTATCTTTCTCTCGGCTTTCTTATGCAAGTACTGATGAACCAGTTTAAGAAAAGAATATCAGCTCAAGAGGTTCAGACGGACCGTAGTAATTCTTAACGGTTTCAGAAATTATGCGCTCTAATTATGCGAGCTCGAGAAGGAGAGAGAGGAATGAGAGATGGAGGAAAGCTATTTTAGTGTTTTAGAGACCCCACGGAATGACTAATTGCCGCGCTTTGCCAGTTTGATTGCAATTCTTTGCGAAGTATCGAAAAAGAAGAATGTGGAATATAAAGTAAAGAAGGGAAGAACGAAAATGGAAGCAGTTGTTTAGGGATAATTTTTCATTATCAAGACAAAAAACAAATTGCGAGATAATTATAGGACAAAACAGTTTGCGTATATGTGCGTACACGTATGTGTACAACGTATGTTGGTAATGGATAGTTGGTCGCTACCCGTGTGCTCTGTTAGGAAAACTGTTCGAAATTATAACCTCCGCGAATGTTTTATGATGCCGCCGAGTATTGTGTACAAAAGCTCGCTTCCATTTTTCTCGGCAGCTCCCGCGTCTCTATTTTTTCGGGACGCAATACCGTCGAGAATTTATGCTTTACTTAAGCCGGAAAACTCGGTGTTCGTGTAACCTTTCGGAAATTTTAGTCAGTTTAATTAATTTATTACCGTAAGTGGTGACTTTAGACCAGAAGTTGCTTGAGATGACCTGATTTCTTGGATCGTTCACGTATGTAATTAAGCGATGGATTCTAATCAACGTTTAATGTTTTTCTAGGAGAAACTATTTCTCCTGTGATGTTTCTTATCATATTTCTTCGCAAATAATAAAAATAAGAGTTATTAAAATTATAAACATTGAGCTAATTAATAACATATTTTTCTATAAATTTTTATAATTAGTATTTTTAAATATTTTATAACATGTTCACAAGTCGTTACGCTTGGGATTAATGGTATTTTTTGTACTATTGTATACGTGTATTTTAATTTATTGAAACATTTTAATTTACAATATTTACAATGCAATCTTGTAATTATGTCACGACTATCTCTTTTCAAAATAAACTAGTCGAAATGCAATCGTGAAACATATTTTTACTTTCGCTGTTTAAAATGTAATTACGCACGCAAGTTAATTAACAACTTGTGTATAATGTTGATTTTACTAACTCCACGGAAAGAAATATATTTACTAACTAATTTCAAAATTCATAAATAATACGATTTTAATATAATAACCATTTTATTTTTCCTTAAGTACATGAAACATAAAAAGTCTTTTGCGCTTGAAACACGATTAAAGTTCACTGGAAAAACTTGTTAAAAAGCAGAACGCCTAACTCTTTCAAAAATATTCCAAAAATTCTCGTAATAAAAATATGATTCGTAAAATATTTAAATTGTTCTTTTAATGAAGACACTTTTAATGCGGCCCCGAAGGGTTTAATCGTTCGCAAAAATCGCGCGGCTCCTTTCTTTTCAGCAAAGATGCACTCCGGCGCGCACAACGGCTGCATTACAGTGGATGGCGCATTAAAATGTTTGTTTTTCCTCGGGCGACGTTAACTCACCGGCTTGCGCTCCGCTCCCTAGAAACGCCCGTAAATAACACTTTCTGCGCGGGTGTCACATAACGTCTTCTCGCTACATGGACTTCGTTTCAGGCACGTTTTTGCGGCGACCTGCGACGACGCATCGTCATATTCCTGGCACCGGCGCCAGATTCCCGGCGCTAGTTAATAAACTAAGAGCAAGAGGAATATTAAGCGAAAGAGAGGGAGAGGACGGTAGAGCGGGAAGAGGAGAGAGAAGCGAATAGAAAACTTGTATTAAAGTGCACGTCAGGATTGGACCCGGTAAACTTGCAGGCCGCGCTGAACTTGGTTTCTCACTTTATGAAATACAACCCGATCTTCGCGGAGCCTCTCCATTTGACGAACTCGACTGCCTCCGAAATTGGAGAAAGAGAAATAGAGAGAGGGACGAGGAGGATCTGTCAAAGCAAGATGAGAAAAAGAGAGGGATGTAGAAGAGAAGCAACGAACACTTGCCACACCCGTAACTCCGAAATCATTTCGTGTTCAAACTTCGAGTAAACTATCTATCTTCGAATAATAAATCGACAAATCCACATAGACAGAATGAGAGAGAGGGGGGGGGGAGAAGGAGAGAGAGAAAGAGAGAACTCACTGCTCTCTTGGCATACATTTCGTACGTTTCGCTTCAGAAAATGCATTCCCTTCTTTACTACTTTTCTTACCTTCCTAGACTCACATATTTTCTCTCATTCTTTTCTCCATGTTCATTTTTTGTTTCACAGTATATAACCGAAACGGACGTGCATCGCGACGAGGTCAGAATTCCCCGTGTTTGGATCGTGTTTTCCGCGAGAGGAAAATTCAATGGAACAGTGAGATCACTAGAATTATGAACGCGCGGGACATTGTTTTCAGTGAACTTTTTTATTTGATTCCACACCTGTCTTTTATACTTGCAAATTTTCACAAAGACATTGGAGGAATAATACCGAGTAAGAAATTTCGAGATGGTATATCGTATCTCTCTCTGAAAAAAATATTATCAATGATCAATTGTATTTTCTCATCAATTTAACCACGATATTAATATAATAATAATGCAATGACATTTACGTAAACGTCATTGCATTTCGAAGTGGACTTGTGAAATATATGTAAGGGATATTTATATATGTATATTGGCATGTGCGTATGTGTGCGTAATATCTATTAACGATTATTAATTGCGATTAAATTGTGCCAATGTAGAATTAAATGACGTTTATCGTAAACCACGATAAATGCGTGTGTGCATGACATCAAAATTTCAATTGTAAAATGCAGAAGATTTTGCGGTACCGTCACAAAATTCAATAAAATGTCATCCTCTTCCATATCGCAAACAACATTTCATGCAACAATCATGGCGTATCGATTTAATATCGTACGCAGAGCTATGATATTTCAACTAATTCACTAGTAACCACATACAGCAGGAGCATTGAATTGATAATATCTATAATATACATTCGGAAATAACCTCTGCAATCGACGGCAGACGCCACCTCGCTCTTTCTCTTTCTCTCTCTGTCTCTCTTTCCCCGTGTCCTTCTCTCTCTGCTATTCCGTGAGGGGGAACTTCGGCAATAATTCAGCGCGCTTTTTGCGCGCGTCGCGAATATAGATCGCAGCCTCCAACGCGCGCGTGCGAATCGATCGCGCGTCGCGCACCGTCGCTTTTTGCGGTCGCGCCAAGCGATGTTCGCGGCGGAGACAAATGAACTCGGGTCATGATCATTTTTCCAATTTCGCTCGGCGACTTCTTGCCGAGCAGTGCGAGCCGGGACGAGCCAGTCGGTTGAAAATAAAAAAAGAGAACGTCAGTTTTCCGCGCGGAGCGGTTTAGGAGCGCCTGACGTGCGAGTGACTTTCCCGATATCTCGAAACGTTTTTTTGCGTTTGTCGTGATATGAAGCATGCAGATCGTTCCTTGCCACGTGATTTTCACAAATATTATGTATTTATGCGCCCAGAAATTTAACGGTTTAATCCTTCATGCAACGAATATACGAAATATAATTAAATATATTAGACATAAATTATTATTAATAGAATTAGCGTTAATAATACATATATCTCATCACTCGCGTGTCGATGATTTAGCCTAAAATCCCTGCATCGCGAAATTGTCCTTCGAAGAATTCTGAATAAGATAAAATCAACTCACCCGCGTTCGTCTGCTATCCTTTTCTACGATCCTCGGTCGACGTTCCTCTTCTACCTTTATTCACGTTCACTCTCTCCGATGCTTGCCCTCTCGGATTCCCTTGCCCTGCGGCTTTTCCTCTCTGTTCCTCTTTCCCTTCTATACATCACTCTTTCTATTCATCTCTACCGTCCTTCTTTGATTATTCGTATCTATCCTTCGCTCTCTTTCGCCGAGGCTCTCTCTGGGCAATCTCGCTCGATAGAGCCCGCGTTAATTTGCATAGCCACTTCGAGAGCCGCACGATCAACGGCCGCTGTTACTGTTGTAATATTGTGCTGGTATCAACCTATCGGCCATCCCTGTAGCCAGGAAGCGATATGACGCTAATATTTTTCTTCCGCCCATCGCACATTCGTTTGAAACTTCGTATGACATCTTCGCACAGTGCTCTCTTTCATCAAAAGAATTGCACTTTGTACAATTTTTTTTATTGAGCTGAAATAACACATGTGTCACATTAATAATTTATGAATGTCTAAACACATAAACAATATTATGTACATATAAATATCGTTTAGTAATGTATTACGAAATACGAATTATAAGAAAAAAGATAACAATTGAATGTTTCATGACTTATTATTATATTTCAGCTGCTTATATTTTGTATACGATTAAGAAGATTGTTTTTGGTAATTATTAACAGGGTACGCTTGCTAACGAAATTGTGATTAATTTCAGTTTTTTTACATGATTTAAGATAATCTTCTCTACCTTACGCTTCGAAAAAAAAGTTTAAATAATTTGCAAAAAAAGGTAAATTCCGATTCAAACACTTTATTATTCAGTCATGCCAATTCCCAGGGAAAAGATGTCGCATCGAAACTATCCGAAATTCAAGGCTTTCAATTACTCCCACAGATAAATTAGATCGCGACCGGTAGATTAAACCGGTCCAGCTCGAACGCGGCGGTTATGACTCGTAAAAATCGAGTCGCATCGATCAGACGGTGAGCGAACAGGGGCTCGGAGAGATATATAAATGGCAAGCAGAGAGGGGAAAGGGGGGGGAAGGGGGTAGCAGGGGACAAAATATTCCTGGGTCGACGGCTCGAGCCCGATGTCACAACGAATGCCTTATCGATATCATCCTGTCGAACGCTCATACACGAAATATTCCGCATAGCAATGTCTCGGTAATTGGATACACGATCGGACCGCGATAGTTTTCGTGTCGAAACTCGATCCGATTCGCGAACGACGGATCCAGAAGTGTCCCGCGCAGGACGCACCTGCCCGTTCGACTGCCTATGATACGAATCACAATAGTATGTGTGTACAGGCGAGTTTACACAACTCACGGTTGTCCTTAGATAAGTCGTTCAGGCTGAAGGATAACTGACTTGCCTAAACAAGGTTTTTGCGAAAATCTATCGTCCATTTCAACAATGTGCGAGTTCCTTTGAATAATCTATCAAGAAGCTATCAAGACATTTCATTTCTAATTATGGGCTCCATTTTGTATAATTTGAGAAGAATTTTGTAAATTTTCTCTCGAGTTTTCTCACGCAATTGCATCTGCGTTAAATTTATTTCTCTGACGCGTCCAATCAAGAGTTTGTTCATATATTCGTAATGAATCATTAATTCAGTATAGAGTCGGTTCTCTTAATATATTCCGTCATGCATGCAAACGTCATCGATTTGCAAGTTTCGACATTGGAAACGACGTCGGGACGTCGTTTGCAGATCGTCCGGTGCTCATAAGTTTGCGCAGATGATGCGATAAGTCTCTCGAAATCATCAATACTTTTCACTGTGACCATTTGAATGAAATATCATCGCGAGCAGATGCGTTCTTCCCTGGGCGGGAATGTAGCAATGCACTTGCACAGCCTGAGGCGAAATTAATACCCAAACTTCTTCAACAAATGCGAAAGTTGGAGGAACGCAACGTCGCACATTTTATTTCAATTGTAATTACAATATATTAATTTCAATTTCAAGCTAATTTTTCTGTTTAAAGCTAATCACGTGTAGAGCGAAAAAATGAACATGGATTTTATATTAATGAACTTTTCTGCTTGTACATAAGATGAAACAAGTGTATATACATTCACGATTCGTATAAACGAACGTAAAAAGTGCAGCTAAAAAACCGGAACTAGTAACGAGATAAAAAGGAGGATCGAATAACCCGCTAGTCTATTTGCAAAAGACGCATTGCATCGAGTTTGTTTCGGTCGAATAGCAAATCATTTGATCGATACCTGATAATAATTCGCGTCGCCTGTAATAAGCCGATCGCGAAGTAATTAGTAATGTGTGCCGGTGACTGATTCTAGCGGAATTACGCGCCACTGATTAGCGCGGTACCGTAATCCCCGTAAATATGATTACGGAGGAAATGATTATCCGCGTATTGAGCCGACCGTGCATGCCAATCGATAGTTACGGATCCATAAATAGATTCTTCAAGGATTCTGTAAAGCGACCGTGCAGTATCGCGAAAATGATAAAATCGAGCAGATCGAGGAACGGCATATGTGAGAATATTATTTACATCATTATATCTTATGCGCGAGATCCGAGTGTAATTTAATATCTTGCAGAAAAAAGATCTCTGCTATTTTTGATGGAAAAAATTAATATAAAGATATAATTTTTTGCGATAAAATCCAATATATAATACGTATGTGTATAATTTGCATTATATAAATACGTTATCGCGATGCAAATATTAATAATAATGATGTATTTCTTCCGTTCAACGAAGCAATATTAATGCAGACTGATTAAAATATTAAAATGTCAAAATAAAAAATTAACAAATATATCGATATTTGACAAATTAATATATAATGATTGCATGAATTATTGAATCTGCAATTTGCAATCATTTTACAAATCGATTGATCATTATCTCCGATAACTGTTAACTACGATGCAGATCTACGATGCATACCTTATAATGCGTATAATTAAGAAATTCACTTTAAGAATATCGAATTTTATTTTTATCAGTTGCAGATTTTTTTTCAAAGTGTTCACAGACACATGGGGGTTATGCATTGCATCGATAAAGTTTGGTGCGAATTTAAATGTCCCTCCGTGAGGATGACTTATATAGCCATCAACGAAACGATAGTAGCAGATCGGGGATAAAGGGAATCGGCGGTTCGCTGACGTCGTAGGATAGACGCAAATACGAGAAAAACGAGCTCACGACTCGCTATCGTTCAGTCAGATAGACCCTAATGCTTACGCAGGAAATTTGTGACCCATTGGACCGGACTCGTGAGGGTGCAAAGCAAATGTTTTCTTTCGATGTCCTCCCTAATGCACACATTTAAGTGTACTCCGTTCGATCTATAACGGCGGCGGCGGCCGCAAACCCGGAGCGCATCCTATCGTGACAATATTATTTCGAAAAATATTTAACACCGATATTTGGGTTTCGATTTTATTTAATATGACGTCCGCGACGTGAGAAACAAATTCGGCAAATAAAATTGCTACAAGGACGTACAGCGGTTGGTATATGAGATTTCACCTGTTTCAACCAATTTTGACAGACGACAGAAGACTACAGAAGACTCAAACATTTCTATAAATAAAGACACTCGCGTGCTTTAATCAGAGATCCTTTCTATAAATTTAAAAATGATCTTTCTTGATATGCATTTCATATTTCTAAAAATGTCTTTTAAAATGTATTGCATTTCATATTTCTAAATGTCTGTCAAGATGTATTGCTTGCTCTCATTATACCTACATCTCTCCAATAGGTTCTCTCGTAACGAGAATCGTAGAGGTTTGTAACCAACGTGTGCGAGTATATCGTCGCAGAAAAAAGTTCTCCGAGGGAACTTATTTAATCGCGATTGCTATCGATTTTCCGTACCAACTTATACACCAGTGGCGCGGGAAGCCATGACGCGAATCGAGATCCTGCAGAAACTGCGATAAGATTTCAATGATGAAGCGGCGAGCTACGCCGATGGCTTCAATCACGTATGAAGTGATCGCAATGAACGTTTACAGTATTGAAAGGCATGCTTCCACGGCGCGGACGCTATAACTCGTACCTTGCCATTAATATAATCTCGTATAGATCGTTTTAAAATTCCGTGCTGCAAGATGAAGCGAAGTAAGAGCCGGCTGTTACTGCTGATCTATTCAGCGGTATCGTTCGCGATGCAAATTGATTCGCAATTAATCGCGCCGCTGAGAGATTCAAAGATATTGTATGTGCGCATACGTTTTATAATTCTACGATATTACATTAGTTTGTAACTTCCCTCTTTGACGCATATATTATTTTTCGATTCACATTTCCAACGCTATTAATTTTACTCGATCGTTATTTAGGAGTATTTAGTCAGGCGATATGAATAACTATGCAATTAATTATATCGCCACAGAATCTAAGGATAGAACATTATACGTACGTTTTTCTTATTCAAAGTGTTAATGTTTATTTCACATATAATTAAAAAAATTATCTTTCTAAATATAATTTTATTAGAATTGGAAAGGAAAAGAGAGAGATTTAGCGTGCCAAAAAAATATACATTTTTTGCTTTTGAAAAAAGTATCCGTACAGTATTATTTTGTTCGCACGCATTAACAGCTTGACACTAGAAACGTGCGGAGAAAATCCGGTGCGTTTTCAGTGGAACGCAGAACGCGTGAATCCAGCGAGTGATCGCGCGCGATCTCTCGATCCGTAAATGAAAATTCCCGTCTGCATTGATATGCATCTACAAGATTCCGACTGCGCTCGACGCGCTCTTGGCGTTCATTTCGTGCGATTTCAGGACTTTCCGGCGGAATCTCGTAAAAGCGAATTCTTCACGATCGCTTGCATCCACCATGCCACCGCTTAGAATTGCACCCCTGCATCGTTCGCCTTGATGCTTCTTTAAGACAAGTTTTGAAGCTGCTTATCTTGTTTTTCCACGGTAAATTCATGATAAGAAAATTATTATCGTAGATTCTTGATATGGATGTGAAAGATAAAGATCCAATGTATATAGAGTATACGCTATGGAAGTTTCCTTCGGTTATGTATTTTTTTATGAATTTTGTGATCAATATATTTTTAGCTCAAATAAGAAAGATATGAATTTTCTTATTTAGTACATACACTTAAGGTGGCTTTAAATTATTCTCAATCAGAAGAGAAATTTATATTTAATTTTATTTAACTTAAATTTAATTCAATCAAGTAGGCTTTATTGTGTCAACATAGAATGAATGCAAAAATACGAGTCGAATTGTTTTTTTACAAAAATATGATATTTCATTTCCATTTCTATGGGAAACAATAATTGTTCAGTTTTTGGGAAATATTGCTGTTTTATTTGCATTAAATAATAGTCACTTGCTTTTGCGCAGGAATAATTGCCTGTGTAACTTTTTTTTCATAAATAGATATTTCGTTTGTGCTCTCCGGCAAATAATACTCGAATTATTCGACAACGATCGCAGAT